CTACTCGGGAGGCTGAGGTAGAAGAATTGCTTGGACCCAGGAGGCGGAGGTTGTAATGAGCCGAGATCACGCGATTGCACTCCAGCCTGGGTAACAAGAGCGAAACTCCATCTCAAAAAAAAAAAAAAAAAAAAAAAAAAACAACTTACTACAAAGCTACTGCAATTTAAAAGCCAAAAAAGATGATACTAACACAGTAATGAAACAGTAGAACCAGAACAGAGACACTAGCAATAGAGCCCGGTATGTTTCAGACTTAGTAATTTGTTAAAGTTGGTATAGATATCTGAAACTTTCGGGCTAGATGCTTCAGAATTAATTTTTGGGTTTCAGAAAGCCAATATGCAAGGCTGGGCACAGTGGCTGACACCTGTAATCCCAGCAGTTTGGGAGGCTGAGGTGGGAGAACTGCTTGAGCCCAATAGTTCCTGACCACCTTGGACAACATAGTTAGACCTCGTCTGTACAAAAAATAAAAAAGTTACCCAAGCATGTGGTAAGTGCCTGAAGTCCCAGCTATTCAAGAGGTCAGGGTGGGAAGATCACTTGAGCCCAGGAGTTTGAGGCTGCAGTGAGCTGTGATCACACAATAGCAGTGCAGCCTGGGCAACAGAGTGAGACTCCCATCTCTAAAATAAAATAAAAAGACAATATGGTATGAACACTAACCTCTCCAACAGATCTGGGGGAAGTGCCTTGTAGTTGATCAGTAATTCTTCACGTGACTTATGTGAATGGAATAAATAAAAATGTAATGTCCGTTCATATTTAGCCACCAAATAAATGTTGGAGGAAAACTTGTTTTCTAGAGACGTTGGATTTCCAATTTATAGTTAAGCAGCTGTAGACCTATATTCCAGTTTGGTAGGTTTGTTTTGTACATTTCTGGAAAAGAAAATTTCAGACCCTCTACCTCGTAACATATACTATTTTTTTTTTCCCCCCTGAGACGGAGTTTCGCTCTTGTTACCCAAGCTGGAGTGCAATGGAGCGATCTCGGCTCACTGCAACCTCCGCCTCCTAGGTTCAGGCAATTCTCCTGCCTCAGCCTCCTGAGTAGCTGGGATTACAGGCACACACCATCATGCCCAGCTAAGTTTTTGTATTTTTTAGTAGAAACGGGGTTTCACCTTGTTGACGAGGATGGTCTCGATCTCTCGGCCTCGTGATCCGCCCGCCTCGGCCTCCCAAAGTGCTGGGATTACAGGCTTGAGCCACTGCACCCAGCTCATAACATATACTTAAGTTCATCCCTCATCTGAAAATCCGAAATCCAAAACCTTTTGTTTGTTTTAAAGAGATAGAGTCTTGCCATGTTGTGCAGGATGTAGTGCAGTGGCTTGGTCACGGGTGAAATCATTGCACGCTATAGCCTTGAACTCCTGAACTCAAGCGATCCTCCTCCATCAGCGTTATGAGAGTAGTTGAGACTACAGGCATGAGCCACTGTGCCCAGTAAAATCTGACTTTTTTAGCACAGAGATGACAAAGTAAATGCTCATTAGGACATTTCAGATTTTGGGTTTTTGGAATAGGGATGCTCAACTGGTAAGTATAATGCAGATGTTCCAACATCTGAAACACTTCTGGTCATAAGCTCTTTGGATAAGGGATACTCAATCTGTATCAAATTCCAGAAAATTTGGTTGGGCGTGGTGGCTCACACATATAATGGTAGCACTTCGGGAGACTGAGATGGGTGGAATGCCTGAGCTCAGGAACTCAAGACCAGCCGGGGCAACGTAGGAAAACCCTGTATCTACTACAAATACAAAAACATTAGCTGGGTTTGGTGGTGCAGGCCTGTAGTCCCAGCTACTCAGGAGGGTGAGGCATGTGAATTGCTTAAACCTAGGAGGCAGAGATTGCAGTGACCTGAAATCGTGCCCCTGCACTCCAGCCTGGGTGACAGAGCAAAACTCTGTCTAAACAATAAATAAATAAATAAAACCAGGATCAGAAAATACTTACAAGATTCTGAACTCTGGGTAGGTGGTTCAGTGTGCATATCGGAACACTCAGTTGCCTGTGGGCAAGGAAATGCCATGGGAGGCAGCAGCATACATTCTTCTTTCATCCACAGCAAAAATACCCAACAATGATAACACCCAGTGCTGATGGGCAGGCAGGAGGACCAGTTCATTGTTTTAACACTGGTGGAAGAAGCATTACTTGCAAATGTTTTGCAGTTAATTGACCACTATTACTTTGAAACCATACCTGGTTAGAATTAAAAGCACTAGCATGGAAGCATACAAGTTTATTCTGGTGTTGCTGGGTTATTGTGGAGAAAATCTGGAAACAACATAAATTTGCCTCAGTTGGGAGAATTTATGGTATGGTCATCTGGGCATATAGACCCAGGAGGACAAAGTGTTGGCAAGTGAGAAAGTTGCTGAGGAATGGTCTATAGTAGTATTCTAATTGTGTATATTTAGTTTGTCATAAGCATGTACGCTGTCTGTTAATATTTTCCTCCAGTAGTAGAGAAAAACGTGCTAAGAAAAAAAAATGAAGATGGAGAGAGTAGAAACAGCAAGTGCGAAGGCTTTCTGAAACATGTAAATGGAGTGGGCGGGATTCAACAGGTTCTCCCACCCAGCCAAAAATACCTTTTCAGCTTATGGCTTTGATAATGACGAAAGTGAGATTTGCCTGTACTCCCACCATGAGGAAATGGCCCAGCATACTAACAGAAATCCTTCCAGACAAAATGGCTCTTGCATGCTATGCCCACAGTACAATATTATACACCTCTCTTGTGCCAGTGGAGAAATGAGCCCGATTTGAAGGGCTGCATGCTGTACTTTTGAATGTATGATTTATTTAACCTCTTCAGCACTGAAAAACGTTTAGGTGTTTTCCCGTTTTTTGCCACTGCAATCAGTGTGCACCCATGTCTCCAATTCTTAAATTTAGGATTGTTCTGGGAAGGGATTAATGAGAGAGATTTTTAGTTTTCATGCATTCTGTCAAATGGCTTTCCAAAATAATGGAAATAGTTGATCCTCCCACCAGCAGAGAAGTGTCTCTAACCTTGCATGACTGGGAAGAATTCTTCATTCTTGGAATTCTGTGGGTTAAAAGGACGTTTCGGCCGGTCGCGGTGGCTCAAGCCTGTAATCCCAGCACTTTGGGAGGCCAAGGCGGGTGGATCACAAGGTCAAGAGATCGAGACCATCCTGGTCAACATGGTGAAACCCCATCTCTACTAAAAAATCAAAAAAAAAAAATCAGCTGGGCATGGTGGCGCGTGCCTGTAATCCCAGCTACTCAGGAGGTTGAGGCAGGAGAATTGCCTGAACCCGGGAGGCGGAGGTTGCGGTGAGCCGAGATCGCGCCATTGCACTCCAGCCTGGGTGACAAGCGAAACTCCGTCTCAAAAAAAAAAAAAAAAAAAAAAAAAGGACGTTTCATTAAATGTTTCTGCTTTTATATCCTCCCCGTTGGCCCCAAAGTGCCCCTTGCCTGTTAGCCTAGTTGTCTCCTTGAAACGGGGTTTGCACCTTTTGCTCTTAGTTGATTTGTTCGCTGCTTATAGCTTTTTTGGTAAGCAAATCAGAATTCTGTAATAAGCCATAAAGGCATACAGAGATCTATAGATCTACCTACCTATCTATCTATCTATCTATCTATATATATATATATATATTTTTTTTTTTTTTTTTTTTTTTTTTTTTTGAGACGGAGTTTCGCTCTTGTTACCCAGGCTGGAATGCAATGGCATGGTCTCGGCTCACCGCAACCTCCGCCTCCTAGGTTCAGGCAATTCTCCTGCCTCAGCCTCCTGAGTAGCTGCGATTACAGGCACGTGCCACCATGCCCAGCTAATTTTTTGTATTTTTAGTAGAGACGGGGTTTCACCATGTTGACCAGGATGGTCTCGATCTCCTGACCTCGTGATCCACCCGCCTCAGCCTCCCAAAGTGCTGGGATTACAGGCTTGAGCCACCGCGCCCGGCTTATGGATCTATATTTTTAATCACCTACAGTAATTGTGGTGTGGAAGGACAGGGAATTTGAACAAAGATCAGATAGATCGTGGTTCCCTGCTTGTAGAGTGGCCCTTCGTTGGGAGGGCTGCGCCCCAGGTGTAAGTGCGTGGGTGTGGGGGCAGGAAGGTTCCTCTGACCTGGCAGGGTGGGGGTGGGGGATTACAGGGTACCCAGAGCAGCCTCTCCAGCCCCTTCTGCCCTGCCTGCAGCTCATGATGGAGCAGTCCAAGAAGTCCTCGCTCATGGTGGCCCGCAGTATCCTCAACAACAAGCTCATCAGCAAGAAGCTAGAGCGCTACCTGAAGGTGAGCCACTGGTCCCGGGCTGGCCCTGTCCCCAGCCCAGTCCCCGCCTCTGCTCCCTCCGTTCAGTGTCCGCGCCCCTCCCTGCAGGGCGAGAACCCTTTCACCGACAGCCCCGAGGAGGAGAAGGAGCAAGAGGAGGCTGAGGGTTGCGCCCTGGACGAGGGGGCGCAGGGCGAAGCGGCAGGCGTCTCGGAGGGTGCAGAGGGCGCGCCGGCGCAGCCCCCCGTTCCCCCAGAGCCGGCCCCAGAGTCCGCGTCGCCACCGCCACCGCCCCCGCCGCCCCCAGAGGAGGAGGAGGAAGGCGCCGTGCCCTTGCTGGGAGGGGCGCTGGAGCGCCGGATCCGCGGCATCCCGGGTCTCGACGTGGAGGACGACGAGGAGGGCAGCGGGGGCGCCCCGTGACCTGAGCTCGGGGCGGGCGGGGCCCGCGGGGCCGAAGCTGGAAACCAAACCTAATAAAGTTTTCCATCCCATCTCCCGCTTTCTCGGTGACTCTGCCGCGCCGGCGGGGCGGGGCGGGACTGGGGCGGAGAAGCTATGCACATGCGCAGAGGCTGCGCCTCGGACACAGCAGCGGCACCACAACTCCCGATACGCTGCGGAAGCGGATTCTGAGCAGCCCGAAAGGCCAGATGGGACGGTGGGGGCGGGCCTTTATGAAGACCTGCCAATGGGAGCGCGCGGAAGTAGTGACCTACGCCCCTGATCTTCCAGTAGTCGACGGTGGAGGTGCGTTGAACGCCTGCGTCCTGTGGCCGCCTAGTAAAAGGGATTGCTGGTGGGTCGCGTCGAAGCCATGGATCAGGGCTACGGAGGTTTGTATTGGCTGCTGGGCGCGGAGCGGGGAGGAAAGGCGCTGTGCGGGCGGCGCGGCCGCAGCGGAGACGGCCGCAGGCTGGGCCTTCGTCCCGAGCGTGGTTGCCGCAGCCGGGACCTACGGAGGAGGTCGGGGCGCGCGCGCGGGCGCGCCGCTCAATGGGTTTTGGCGCCGTCGCTCCCGGGGCGCTGCGTGTGGATTGGCCGCCGGGGCCCGAGGAGGCGGGCGGGACTCGGGGTTGGGGTAGAGGCCGCGGTGGGCTTTAAGTTGGGGGTGCCTTGGGCCGTGCGAGCCGTTTCTGCCCCGCACCTTCTGCGGGGCCCGTGCGGCCCCTAGCGACCCCGGCGTTCGCACTCCCGGCTTCCTCTTCCGAAGACGCCACAAAATGGCCGCGCTAGGGGGCGGAGTTACAGCGTGTGGTCGTGAGGTCTGGCGCGGGGCCTGGGGTCTGGGGCCGCCGGCTGATCGCGGGGGCAGCTTTTCTCCAGGCTTGTCCTAGGCCTGCGGGGCCGGGTGGGGGCCTCCGCTGGGCTCACGTGGCTCAGGGAGTCTGTCCCAGAAGCCGTCGGGCTGCGCGAGGTCGGCCCTTTAGTGCCCGGTGCAGCGCGGTGGGGTCGAGTGCGGCCGGCGCAGGAGTCAGCCTCGCCGGGCTCCAGCTCTGGTACCCGGCGCGTGCTGGCCTGGAACAGGATAGTGAGAGGCAGATGCTGAGTGTTGGTGCAAAGCTGGAAACCTGATGTGCCCTGGGACTGGTGACAGATTGGCCGTTCTCCTTTAGGTAGTCTTTTGTGGCCTGGAGGGCCAAGGAGTTGTGCAAGAGGGAACGTGCCCTTTCCCCACTTGGCTTTAGCCCTTGCCCTGCAGTAGGGCCGATCATCTCTAGCTGCCTGCTCCCAGCTTGTGGAATCAGAGCCTTCTGAGAGCCATGTTTGCCCACGGAATAGTTGGGACATGCTGGGTGGGGTTCGACTGGTTGTAGAGAAGCTATTGGTGTGATCCTGGCTTCAGAAGCTCGATAAGTTGTCGATCTTGAGAAGTGGCAGGGCAAAAGGATCCCAGCAGCAGAAATTGCGGAGAGAGAGGGGTCGGTCCTGAGGCGGGAGCCAGTGCCCCTGTGCTTTAGGTGTCTATCGGACCCGCAGCCTAGGTAGATTTTGCTGTTCTTTTCCTTCCTTCCCATCAAATCTTTTCTGCAGGTGCTTTATTCCTCTTTTTCAGTCTTAGTTTGGAAATTTTTTTACCCACTCTTCCTACCTCCTGAAAACCTTGCAGACTTAGTGGAGATACTTCAGCTTCCCTCATTTCTCGTGTTTCAGGGAGCGTTTTCAGGTTAATAGCTCGTGCCACTTAAGGAAGCAGTCTCACGAGGTTGGTTACTTGCTGTTGGAATACGGATACGGATTTAGAGGGCCTTGAAGGGAAGGCATAGCATAGCAGAGGGCAAAACTCAGCAGTATGACTGGGTCAAGTCTCATAACCCATGAGCCTAGCTCCCTTCTCCCGAATGTCATTCCGGGACAGCAGGGTTTGCTTTGTACTGGCCGTGTATCGGCACACACTAGGCGCTTAGCAGTGGGGGTTGTTCTGTTGAGGTAGACATGGATGTATTCCTGCCTCATTCCTGTCTTTTGGCAGGCATGGTGGCCACCTGTGCGCAGCTCAGTGCTGGGCCCCAGGGACACAAAATGAAGAGAACACAGTTCCCATCTTCCTTCCTGGAGGGACCAGACGTACGCCATAGTGGGCGGGGATGTTGGAAGGGTGAGGAGTACAGTCTGAGGTCTTAGGGCCAGGCCAAGGCTCTGGGGCTCTTAAAGGTTCAGGGGATCCTTGGAGGGCTTAAAATGGCAGGAAGTGCAGCTTAGAGGGTTGCAGTTTATGCCACCAAATTCCCTTGCTTGTTTCCAGTTACGGGGTCCTTGTGATGGCGGTCTCAGCCAGTTTCATAGCTGTGTGATGGGTGGGGGAATGTGTCCTCATGGTGAGTGGATGGCCTTGTGTTAGCCTCAGTTGTCAAGTGAAGCTTGGAAGGGTAAGGTCCTGGGCCAAAGTCTTTCTGCATGGCAGAGCTGGCGTCCAAGCTCACTTCCCTCTCCCCTTTTTCTGCTTTGACTTCAGCCAGGTGGAGTGCGATGATGCAATTAGCCGGCTGTGGGAGGGCCTTTGGAGGTGGGGATGGGTTCTTCCTTCTTGTACAGCTGGCACTGAACTGCAAGGAGATCCCTTTAGGCTCTTCATAGTACCCCCCAAAGGACCCATTCTCTAGTGTGACAAATAGAATCTTAACTCACAGGGTCTTCTTGCAGGCTATGGTGCATGGAGTGCTGGACCTGCCAACACCCAGGGTAAGTGGGCTCTGCTTTGCAGGTGAGGCGTGGGTTTCCCCTACACTCAAGGCCCTAGCATGGCAGAGCTGAGCCTGATGCTCACCAGGGTCAAGGAAGAGTAGTGGCCCAGGGGTCAGCAAACTTGCAGTAAAGGATCAGATCGTGAATATCTTTGTGGCTTTATGAGGTACAGTCTCTGTAGCTGAGAGTATATCCAAGTTTTTTTTTTTCCCTTTATAATTAACAGACTTTGTTTTGTTTTGCTCTTGTTGCGCAGGCTGGAGTGCAGTGGAGCGATCTCGGCTCACAGCAGCCTCCACCTCCTAGGGTCAAGCGATTCTGCTGCCTCAGCCTCCTGAGTAGCTGGGATTACAGGCACCTGCCACCATGCCTGGCTAATTTTGAATTTTTAGTAGAGAAGTGGTTTCTCTATGTTAGTCAGGCTGGTCTGAAACTCCTGACCTCAGGTGATCCGCCCGCCCTGGCCTCCCAAAGTGCTGAGATTAGAGGCATGAGCCACTGTGTCCGGCCTATAATTAGCAGACTTTGTAGTACAGCTTTAGATTTAGAAGTGGAGTTCCATACGCCCAGCCACCTCCACTCAGGCATAGTGTCTCTCATTAGTAAGATCTGCAGTAGCTGGGTGACGCAGCTGATGCCTGCAATCCCAGCATTTTGAGAGGCGGAGGCAAGAACATCACTTGAGCCTGGGAGTTCAAAACCCAAGCTCAAGTAATCCTTTTATTCTAAGAAAAAATTAGTAGGGCATGGCAGCACGTGCCTGTAGTCCCAGCCACTCAGAAGGCTGAGGCAGGAGGATTCCTTGAGCCCAGGAAGTCAAGGCTGCAGTGAGCTGTGATTATGCCATTGCACTCCAGCCTGGGTGACAGAGCAAGACCGTCTCAAAAAAAAAAAAAAAAAAAAAAAAAAAAAAAAACCTTGTGTTAGTGTGATGCATTTATAGTTAATCAGCCAGTGTTGATGTGATGTTATTCACTATAGTTCAGAGTTTTTTGTTTGTTTGTTTCGAGACAGGGTTTGGCTCTCGTTGCCCAGGCTGGAGTGCAATGGTACAATCTCGGCTCACCTCAACGTCCGCCTCCTGGGTACAAGTGGTTTTCCTGCCTCAGTCTCCCAAGTAGCTGGGATTGCAGGCATGTGCCACCACATCCAGCTAATTTTTTATTTTTGGTACAGATGGGGTTTCTCCATGTTGGTCAGGCTGGTCTCGAAATCCCGACCTTAGGTAATCCTCCTGCCTCAGCCTCCCGAAGTGCTGGAATTACAGGCATGAGGCACCACGCCTGGCATAGTTTTTGTTAATATGTATAGTTCTCTTGAGTTTTGACAAATGTGTAAGTGATGTGTCTCGTGTCAACATTTGTCACTGAATATATTTTAGAAATTTTACCCCAGGCCGGGCACGGTGGCTCAAGCCTGTAATCCCAGCGCTTTGGGAGGCCAAGGCGGGTGGATCACAAGGTCAAGAGATCGAGACCATCCTGGTCAACATGGTGAAACCCTGTCTCTACTAAAAATACCCAAAAAATTAGCTGGGCATGGTGGCGCGTGCCTGTAATCCCTGCTACTCAGGAGGCTGAGGCAGGAGAATTGCCTGAACCCAGGAGGCGGGAGGTTGCGGTGAGCCGGGATCGCGCCATTGCACTCCAGCCTGGGGGTAACAAGAGTGAAACTCCGTCTCAAAAAAAAAAAAAAGAAAGAAAGAAATTTTACCCCAACCGTTTGAAAATGTAAAATTCATTCTTAGCTGAGGGCAGAGCCTGAGGACGCAGGGCTGCGGGCAGTGTACCGGTACTTAGTTAGGGGCACTGAAATTGGAAAATCAAGCCGGGCGCGGTGGCTCAAGCCTGTAATCCCAGCACTTAGGGAGGCCGAGGCGGGTGGATCACGAGGTCAAGAGATCGAGACCATCCTGGTCAACATGGTGAAACCCCGTCTCTACTAAAAATACAAAAAATTAGCTGGGCATGGTGGTGCGTGCCTGTAATCCCAGCTACTCAGGAGGCTGAGGCAGGAGAATTGCCTGAACCCGGGAGGCGGAGGTTGCGGTAAGCCGAGATCGCGCCATTGCACTCCAGCCTGGGCAACAAGGGCGAAACTCCGTCTCAAAAAAAAAAAAAAAGAAAAAGAAATTGGAAAATCATAAGGGCTGTGCCAAGAGGGGAAGTAGGCTCGATGTGGCCGGGCCTTTTGCAGACCCCCGATCTAGAGTCTGGGTCATGATGCTAGGCTTGTTTGGGGGACCAGTATGTCCTCTCTGCTGGCAAGGTTTTCTGCTTTCTGCCAGCCTGTGTGCTAGGGCACGAGGGCTTCCTTTGTTTTCTGAGCCTGAGTTCTGTCTCTGGCAACATTTGGGGAGTGGGACTGCTTTCCCACCCACCACCGGTGTCCCAGGAGGCAGCCCTCTGGGTCTCTTGTGGCACATAACATCATCTTGCTGGGTTGAGTCGAGGACATGACTTTGCACCAGTGCCTCGCTGAGCAGTTGGCAGTGCCTGCCCTCTGGCTTCTGGTGGGAAGTGACCCTTTACGAGGACTCTGCCCAGGGCTTGGCCCAGCCGACCTCTTAGCTGGCAGCCGACAGTGGATGAGCTTCCTGGGGAGTGTGCAGCGTCCCTTCCCTCGCCCTGATGGGAAGCTGGCCTTTTCTGGGAGAGAGCCCAGTGCTCTGTAGGAGTTGAGAGAGCTAAGAACTGCTGAGGGAAGCCCTGGCCCTGGGTCTGTGGATGGTGGAGCGAAGTGACAGGTGGGAGCATCAGTGCCTTCGTTCTGCAAACGGGGCTTTGTGTGTGTTTGTTTTCCCTAAGGTGCATATGGAACTGGTGTGGCCAGCTGGCAAGGTAGGCTCTTGGTTGGGGTGGGGGGGTCTGCGGGTGGGTGAGTGGGCTTCTGATCTGATGGCCAGGCAGATCAGCCCATCAGGGAGGTTTGGCGTGGATTTCCTGGCTCTCTTCCTGAAGAAACAGTCCGCCAGGGCTGCTGTTGTGAATACAGGGGCTGCAGAGGGCTGTGGCGGGTGGCCTCGGGGGAGCATGCCAGGGAGGGTTGCGACTGTGCCTGGGGAGCAAGGTCCTTAATGGGGCCTGTCAGCAGCCGGAACTGCCATTTCCAGGCTCCTGGTCACCCTGGCGTTGGATGGGGAACAGGTCCTAGAGTCTGGCAGACAAAACCCGCCACTCAGCACTGAGGCTACCCCTTTTTCTGGCCACTTCGTGCTGCCTGTTGGCAAGTCACAGCATAATGTGGAGTGATGCCAGCAGCACTGGGTCCCACACCCCTTTTCCTTCTCCGTGGCAGCAGGTGCCCCTCCCCAGTCATGTCCACCATAGGCAGGCCTCATGGCCACTGAGGTCTGACTTGCTTCTCCTCCCATGACAGGTTATGAAAACTACAATTACTACGGTGCCCAGAATACCAACGTCACCACAGGCGCAACCTACAGCTATGGCCCAGCCTCCTGGGAGGCTGCCAAGGCCAGTGATGGTGGCCTGGCGGCCGGGGGCCCTGCCATGCACATGGCCTCTTACGTCCCAGAGCCGTGCACCGACAATTCCGACTCCCTCATTGCCAAGATCAACCAGCGTTTGGACATGATGTCCAAGGAAGGAGGCAGGGGCGGGAGCGGCGGCGGTGGGGAGGGCATGCAGGACCGGGAGAGGTGATTATAGACCCCAGCCCTTCCCCTGGAACCCCACACCCACCCACCTCTGTGCACATGGGAGTGGGTACCTACTCTAGAGGGAGGGCTGTCCTCACCTCCCTTTTGGGTGTGGCATTGATGAGCTGGGCTTGTGGGGAAGCGCTGGTGTTACAATAGGACTTCCTTGCTGGTTTTCTGCATGGTGGGGCTTGGGCATGGTTGCTGGCTAAGCTCCCCCAGACACTTTTTTTCTTCATGAGGTTGCTCTTGGGGCCAAGGGCTCTGTGTCCCCCACTCAGCAGTGTTCCAGGGAGGGTATTGGTTGGTTTTGCCATCCAAGTACTTAAGTAGGATGCAGGTGGTTTGATTTGCTCTTCTGAATGTAGGGACGTTGGGGGTGGGGGAGACATGGAGGTTGTACCAAGGGATCGTGGAGGTGGGTGACTGGGGTGGCCGCCCCTGACAGGCTCTTTCTGTTTCAGCTCCTTCCGCTTCCAGCCGTTCGAGTCCTATGACTCTAGACCCTGTCTGCCAGAGCACGACCCCTACCGCCCCAGCTACAGCTACGACTATGACTTCGACCTGGGGTCCAACCGCAATGGCAGCTTTGCGGGGCAGTATGGTGAATGCCGAGACCTGGCCCGGGAACGGGGCTCCCTTGATGGCTTCATGCGGGGCCGGGGCCAGGGCCACTTCCAGGACCGGAGCAACCCCGGCACATTCATGCGCAGCGACCCCTTCATGCCTCCGACAGCGACCTCTGAGCCCCTGTCCACACCCTGGAACGAGCTGAACTATGTGGGTGGACGGGGCCTGGGAGGGCCTTCCCACAGCCGGCCGCCTCCATCCCTCTTCTCCCAGTCCATGGCTCCTGACTATGGCGTGATGGGCATGCAGGGGGTGGGTGGCTTTGACAGCACCATACCCTACGGATGTGGCCGCTCGCAGCCCCGGATGCGGGATCGGGTAAGCCCTCACAAGGTTCCGTTGGGCCGCCTTCGTTTCTCTTTTTAGCAGCTTTGTCGAGGTAAAATTTCCCTATCACGACATTCACTTAAACTTAAATTTTTTAAGTGTGCAGCTCAGCTTTTAGTTAATTTACAGGGTTGTGAAATCATCCCCACCACCACAGTCTAATCTTAGCATTTCTGTCAGCCTGAAGAGAAACCTCTGCTCCTTAGTCACCCCATCTCCTCCCCCCATCAACCACCAGTCTTCGTTTGGTCTCTGGTTTTGCGTGTTCTGGACGTTTTGTGCAAATGGAGTGATGAAACACATAGCCTTGTGTTCCTGGCTTCCTTCACTCAGCATGATTTTCTCTTTAGTTTCAAGTATGTTGTGTCTTTGCTTTTTGAAAAGACCTTGTGTGTCTGTGTTGCCTGATCTTACAACCTCTTTGTTCTTTTCTGTGGGGCATCTTCACGGCCCAGGTAAGTAGTTCATGGGGTGTGCTTGTTGTCTGTAGCCCAGGAGGAGAGGGTCTGACCGCTTCGGACCAGATGGCATGGGCAGGAAACGGAAGCAGTTCCAACTGTATGAGGAGCCAGACACCAAACTGGCCCGGGTTGACAGTGAAGGAGATTTCTCCGAAAATGGTACGTCCTGGGGGGCCAGGCGGGCCAGGCAGGCCAGGCGGATGCAGAAAGGGTCAGCTGCCTACTGAGGGCTCTGCCTGTCCTGTCCATGTCATGGACACTCGCCAGTGGCATGTTTCACCCCCGCTCCCTCAACCCCCACTGTGGTCAGGACAGATTCACCCTGAAGAGCGAGCTTGGGAGGGCGAAAACTGGATCGGACCACTTCGGGGACTGACGTTTCCTCTCTTTGTGTCTGGCAGATGACGGAGCTGGTGACTTCCGCTCAGGAGATGAAGAATTCAAGGGCGTAAGTCCAGCAGGCAGCACTTTTGCCTCTAGTGCGGGATTTTTTTCTTTCTTTAATCGCCCTTCCTCACAGAAGGGCAGGAGCAGCTGCCGTGGTAGATCTGACTACCTCATAGTGGATTTAGGACACTCACTTTCAGCTAGGTTTCTAAAAGTTTCCCCCCTTAACCTGGTGTGGTGGCTCATGCCTACAATCCTAGCACTTTGGGAGGCCAAGGTGGGTGGATCACCTGTGGTCAGGAGTTCAAGACCAGCCTGGCCAACATGATGAAATACAAATACAAAAATTAGCCGGGTATGGAGGGTACATGCCTGTAGACCCAGCTACTTGGGAGGCTGAGGGAGAAGGATCACTTGAACCTGGGAGTTGGAGGCTGCAGTGAGCCAAGATTGCACCACTGCACTCCAGCCTGGGCAACAAAGGGAGACTCTGTCTCAAAAAAAAAAAAAAAGAAAAAAAGTTCCACCTACAACAAACATTCTCTTTCTGAAAAAAGCTCCTGTTCCTCTCCCTTGACTGCAGGGACTGTGGGCTAAAGCCTCCAAGCACAGACTGGAGGCTCATTTGCCACCAGCTCTGTGCCGGGTGCTGTTGACAAGTGTCCACGTCCTTCCGTCCTCCCAATGAGGCACAAGTGGGCAGCATCAGGGGCCAGTTCATAGCCGGGACCACCCCAAGCTCCTGGGGAGGTGCCGCCACTACCCCAGTGTAGATTCTGGTCCAAGTCGGGGGCGTAGGGCCTAGAGGTCCAGCGTGGAAGGAGGGCTTTCCTCAGGTCCTAAAGGTCATGCAGGCAGGGAGCAGGCAGGATACGGCGCTTTTCAGGTTTTCAGAATCTCACTTGGTCTCTGTTTTAGACTAGGAATCTCTGCAAACCTGTCGATTATTAATTTAACCATATGTCCACTGCCTAAAGAATCAGTTCTGTTCAGATACTCAGATTTCTGAGTATCTGAATCATTTTTATTTATCTGTGATTTCTTACTAAGACATTGGGTAAATATAAACAAAAGCTTGGGAAACATGGTGGAGCCCATTTTCTATCAAGAATGCCGGAACTAGCATCCCTCAAGTCAGACTCCCTCACCCTACAATCGGTGAGCAGGCTTTGTTTATAGAATTGTGCGGGTGGGCCTTTGCCATGGGACAGGCAGTTCTGCAGCTTAGGAGGAACTGAGAGAGGACGGGTGAGTGGCTTTTTAGAAAGGTCGTCACAGAATCTCTGAAGGCAACTGGGAGTGGTAACGGGACGCCCAAGTCCTGTCCTGAGCCTTGGAGGCCGGTCCTGACACACTGGCTCATTCTTGATGGCATAGCCACCTAGGTCTGGGGTGAGACCACCCACCAGGCAGTGGCCAGGGGCTAGGCTGGTTGTGGAGAGTTCCGGACACACCAGCTCACTGCCGGACTTCGTGTATACTCTTTTCCAGGAGGATGAATTCTGCGAGTCTGGGCGGCAGAGAGGTAGGCGTTGCTGTGTCCTTTGCAGCTTTCCTGTGTCTGCCTGGCTGCCCTGCACTTAACTACCCAGCAAGGCTGGGCTTCTGAGCAAGCCGGAGGCCTGGATGAAGGGGCCCGTGGCTGTGGGGGAAGAGGGGCTGCAGCCACCAAATGGGCCTTGACCGTGGCGATCACCAGACACTTTGCTTCAAAGTGTCTGGGGCAGTACTCAAAATGGGTCTGTCTGCCTGACCCCATGTGGGCTGCAACAGGGGGTGGGGGCAGCCTTGGGTGTCCACCACAGTTCAAGTTTGTAGGGAAGGAGAGACATGAGAGAAGAGATTCCCCCCAGCCCATCTTCTGTGCCCTCCTCAACCAGTGCATGTCCCTGAACCGTTTTCTCCTGGACTTAATTCTGTCCAGTCCCTCCGTCGCTCGCTCCAGGCTGTGCTGTGACCTCGGTGGTGGGGATGCAGCTGCAGCACGCATTGCCACGTGCCTGTGAGTATGTGACAGCAGACACCTGCAGGGTCAGGAGCACCCGGGCTCACTGAGTCCTCCAGTGAGTCACCGCCCAGCAGGGCTCTTCATGTCCAACGCAGGAGGCCAGAGGGTCTGCGGCAACAGCGGGCCAGGCTTGAAGCCTGTTTGGCAGGGCGGCCTGAGGCGTTGTGACGTGGAGCTCACCCTGAAGCCACTTGTTTCTTTCCCCATTCTGTGGCTCTGTCTGTAGCTGGTTACCCCAAGGATCACAGGCTGGCTCCTCGGTGGCCCAGCTCCTGATCATTTGAGGCACGTGGCTTAATTGCCCCTCCTGTTACGTATTGAAGCTTAGCAGCCTGCCCTCTGCGGTCCTCCCCCAACCACCCGCAGTGGTCCTGTCCATAGCACAGGGCGCCCTGAGCGCTTAATGGCACAATGCTAAAGCAAAAGTGACATGTCTGTTGCGCGCAGGTCCTGCTACCTACCCGGGATGACTTTGCTATTAAACAGCAGTCATAGTTTCAGGCAGTGACCTCTTGCCAAAAATCCCACACGCCCTTTTGAGAGGCTTCTGAGCAGCGCACGCCGGTCGCCATCTTCGTGGGACAGTCTCGGGACTGGCATCAGGGGTAGGGGTTACGGTTCAGATGCTTCTCCAACCTTTTTTCAGCGTCTGGCCCTGGCCTTGAGCCTTGGGGACCCGGCCTGGCCTCACGCTGGGATGATGGCCGCGTGGCTCTCTGAGGAGCTCTTGTGCTGGCCCTGGGGGACGGACGGGAGGACCAATCGGTCTCTTCCCATTTTTGTTTCTAGGATTGCTTCCCACGCAGCCCTGGGAAAGCCCTAGATTGACGGTTTTTGTGAGTGGAAGATAGAGGTCGGGCCAGCAAGGACTGTCAGACCTGCTGAGGCCCTAGTTCAGACGGGGCCGCCAGGACACTCATCAAGGTCCACCTAGAGGTGGGACAGGGCGGCAGAGCGGCTGCTTCACCTCCTGAAGCCTTGAGCTGCTGTGTCTTCATCCGGGGAGAATTGCCTTCTCCTGTGTTACTGGGAGAAGACCCCATTGCAGGGCACTAGATTGGACAAGCAGGATGGGGAGGACAGAGAGAGCAGGGGGCCGTGGTGCACATGGGATAGACAGGCTGTGTCCCTGGCCTGTCCCGGCCTCCTTAGGCCATGCAGGGAGTGAGGTGACTCCTCCGGGTTCTCACCCCAGACCCATGTCCACTGGGAAGTCTCTGTTGGTGCCTTGGGGCATCCTGGACCCTGCCACACGGTATAGGCAGTGGCAAGACACGGGGTGTGGTGGCCAAGCCATTTCCCCGGACCAGGCCCTGGAGCTCAGCTCCTGTGCAGGCCCCGCAGAGCGTCTCGAAGGGACTTGTCTGTTACAGGAGAGAAGGAAGACGAGGATGAGGAATTAAAGAAGAGAAGGGAAAAGCAAAGGAGGAGAGACAGGATGCGGGACCGTGCAGCTGACAGGTGAGGCGTGGGCACCACCCCCACTGGAGGAGGTGGACCTCGCACGGGGTAGGCACTGCCGAGCTCCCCTGTCCTAGCTCCACAGCACCGGGGCCATGCCAGTGGGAGGCAAAACAGGAAACAGTTGAGGGTGCAGAAGACACTGCCACTCTTTGTGCTCGTAGCACACACGCTGCCTGTCTTCTAGAATGGCTGGGATGTGGCTTTGGTGAGGTTAGGTTTCTGCTCTTGCTTAGAGAATTGGTGTTTGACCCGGGTTTGTCTATTTCTCTGGAATTGCAGCCTTGCTGGTGAGTCTGTGTGGCCCATAACTGCCCAGCAGGGGGCTCTCTTACTCTCCTGCAGGCCTGATGGATGTCCCTGTCCCCTGACCTGGTACCTGGCATCTCAGACAAGTTTCCTGCATTCACCTTGTTCAAATCCAGACCACTCCTGGTGTTTGACAGAGCTGAGAGATAGGTAGAGAGATGGTCCTACCATCAAGATTTCTTCCAAGAATAGAAAAGAAATGCAAACATGTCGAGCCCAAAGGATGTCAGCGTGACCACATCATGTGCCTGCCGCTCCATGTCAGCGGTTAACTGGCTTCTGACTAGAAACTGAAATCCCCAGTGATGATGTGATGCTGGGGAATCCTTGACTTTAAAGCTCGCATGGGACAGCAATTTTCTTGTGCAAAGAAATGCTTAGTAAAAGGGGCCAGGTGTGGCGGCTTCCACCTGTAATTCCAGCACTTTGGGAGGCTGAGCAGGCGGATCGCTTGAGGTCAGCAGTTCATGACCAGCCTGGTCAACGTAGTGAAACCCGGTGTCTACTAAATATACAAAAATTAGCCAAGAATGGTAGTGGTTGCCTGTACTCCCAGCTACTCGGGAGGCTGAGGCAGGAGAATAATTTGAACCAGGGAGGTAGAGGTTGTAGTGAGCCAGGGTCACGCCACTGCACTCCAGCTTGGTGACTCCAGCTGCTCAAAAAGTTATTTTTTTTTCTTTGAGATGGAGTCTTCTCCTTGTTACCCAAGCTGGAGTACAATGGCACGGTCTCAGCTCACTTCAACCTCCACCCCCCAGGTTCAAGCAATTCTGCCTCAGCCTCCTGAGTAGCTGGGATTACAGGCACATGCCACCACACCCAGCTAATTTTTTTTATTTTTTTATATCTTTAGTAGAGATGGGGTTTCACCATGTTAGCCAGGCTGGTCTCGATCTCCTGACCTCATGATTCGCCCACCTTGGCCTCCCAAAGTGCTGGGGTTACAGGCACAAGCCACGGCGCCTGGCCTCGTTTTGAATCACTTGAACCCGGGAGGTGGAGATTGCAGTGAGCCGAGATTGCACCTGTGCACTCCAGCCTGGGGGACAAGAGCGAAATACCATCTCAAAAAAAAAATCGTTTCTTCTTTAGTACAGGAGCATTGTAACCATTGTTATCTTAAACAGATAAATAATGGATAGAGTAGATGACTTCCACGTCACATGGAAATTGAGATGACTATTCATTAGAGACAGGGGTCTTGCTCTGTTGCCTGGACTGGTCTTGAACTGGCCACAAGAGATCTTTCTGCCTTGGCCTCCCAGAGTACTGGGAGAAAGGCATAGAGATGACTTTTTTTTTTTTTTTTTTTTTTTAAAGACGGAGTTTCGCTCTTGTTACCCAGGCTGGAGTGCAATGGCGCGATTCCAGCTCACCGCAACCTCTGCCTCCTGGGTTCAGGCAATTCTCCTGCCTCAGCATCCTGAGTAGCTGAGATTACAGGCATGTGCCACCATACCCAGCTAATTTTTTTTTTTTTTTTTTTTTTGCATTTTTAGTAGAGACAGGGTTTCACTATGTTGACCAGGATGGTCTCAATCTCTTGACCTCATGATCCACCCGCCTCGGCCTCCCAAAGTGCTGGGATTACAGGCTTGAGCCACCACGCCCGGCTGACATTTTTTTTACTTTTTTCATTTTATCATCTTGTATGTTCTTCCGATGAAGAGGTGACCTGTTTTTGAAAAGAAACCTTCAGAGCTTGCACTAGTGATTGAGGACTTAAGGATCTTGAAGGGACTTAGAGAAATTGTCACAGGAAGGCAGAAGTGTAGCAGGGAAACGTGCATCTCGTCTGCAGCTTCCTGGCAGCTCTGTGTATGAGCCCCGGGATGTGTCCCCTTTTCTCCTCCATAGGGGGTGTCTCCCGAAGTGGAAGTGTCTTCATGGTGCTTGTCAGGGTTCAGAAGCCAGGTGTGTGGAGTTGGCAGAGGTGAAATCCTGAGTGCCACAGGGCCTGCACCCCTACACCAGAAGGGCTGGAACCTCCAGGACAGAGCCAGGGAGGGAGCACCCCAGTATGGTGGCCTGGGGCCTGTACTTCCTTGTCTCTCGCCAAGCAGCATGGCATGCATCACCACGCCTGGCTAATTTTGTATTTTTAGTAGAGACGGGGTTTCTCCATGTCAGTCATGCTGGTGGTCTCAAACTCCCAACATCAGGTGTTCCGTCTGCCTCGGCCTCCCAACGTGCTGGGATTACAGGCGTGAGCCACCACGCCCAGCCAGAAGCCTCACTTTTTATCTGTAGAACTGGATGTGACGTCTTTACGGGGAGTCCAATGGGAGAACTGATCTTGGGCTTTGTGTTTTGAATTGTATGAGGTCTTTTCTCTGCACGTAAAATGAGGTTGCCTTGTGTCATCCCAGTGGCTGTGGAGCAAAGCTTATTTGAGAAGCTGGGAGGTAGATGCTGCACCCCAAGGAGTCACCAGCCAGAGCTTAGGGGGTCCCTCGTTCTGAGCAGTCACTCCTTTCTGGTGTTTTCTCAGAGGCTTTGGGGCCAGAGGGGCTGCAGTGTTAGCTGATTACAAATCTTTGCCTGAGATACTTGTAAGTCGATGTTCCTATTCAGCCGGGGAAGTCTGGGTAACTGCTATTCTGTTGCCCCTTGGGAAGTCAGAACTCTTGTTTCAGCAACCACTTTCCCTAGCTGAGTGCAGTGGCATGCACCTGTAATGCCAGCTACTTGGGAGGCTGAGGTGCGAGGATCGCTTGAAAAACCTGGGAGGCAGAGATTACAGCGAGACGAGATCTTGCCACTGCACTCCAGCCTGTGCAACAGAGTGAGACTCTGTCTCAAAAAAAAAAAAAGAAAAATCCTGTTTCTATTTCCGCTCTCCCCAGAGGTGAGCTGATTCTCCCTGCCTCACTTCCCTCTTTGTTTTTCTTCTCCAGGATTCAGTTTGCCTGTTCTGTGTGCAAGTTCCGTAGCTTTGAAGACGAAGAGATCCAGAAGCATCTGCAAAGCAAATTTCACAAAGAGACACTGCGGTTTATAAGCACCAAGCTGCCCGACAAGACGGTGGAGTTCCTCCAGGTAAAGGACACCTGGCCCCCATCACCACGTCCCCCGTCAATCCCACAGGTGCCGGATCCTTTGAAGGAGGAAGGGAAATCAGAGGTGTAAAACTTGGTCGAGGTTTCTTTTCCCAGATAGAACAGCTGTGTAAGTCCCCAAGTCACAGGAACAACCAAGGGCTCCAGCCATCGTGGTTCCCACTCTTCTGCCCACAGAGCTCCTCTGATAGCTGCCTGCCTAGCCCTGGCAGCTGAGAAATGGCCACACGTGCCAGCTTCTCATTTTACTTAATGCCATCTCCAAATCCACCTTAGGAATACATCATTAACAGAAATAAGAAAATTGAGAAGCGACGTCAGGAATTGATGGAGAAAGAGAGCCCCAAACCAAAACCAGATCCTTTCAAAGGTGAGTTGTGGTTGCAGGATGCTTGCTGTCCTGGATGGTGGCAAGGCATGTGACCCGTGAAACATGGCGCAAGGCCAGCCTGAGGTGGCTGAGAAGGTGGCAGCGAGCCCTGTGGGAAGAGTGCTTAGCAGCAATAGAAAGAAGCCTTCAGTGTGGCTCTGCGTAGGTCGTAGCTGACATCAGAGTGACGTTAAGCACTTTGATGTCGTTTCCTCCTTGGTTTGAAAAGAAAGGACCAGAAGGAACAGAAAAGCTGAAATGTGCAGAATTCCCAGCTATAGAGGCCGAATGTGCTGACTCATACTCCCTAAAGAAGGGCAGGCTACGCCCTTCTGATTCCTGAGTATTGCCGGGAGAAAACCTGGACCCTGTTGGGGAGTGGGAGGAGGAAAGCATCATTTGCTGTCCCAGATCCTAAGACACGCATTTCCTCGCAGGGATTGGCCAGGAGCACTTCTTCAAGAGGATCGAGGCTGCTCACTGCCTGGCCTGCGACATGCTGATCCCTGCGCAGCCGCAGCTCCTCCAGCGGCACCTGCACTCCATGGACCACAATCACAACCGCAGGGTGAGTCTTCCACCCCACACTGCCTAGGGTGCGTGTTGCAGGCTGTGGCTCAGAGCCCCACATCTTCAGCGGTTCTTGCTGTGTTTGAAGTCTGTCACTTCCATTGATTGGTTGTAAGATTCACCTATATTTTTTATAGAAATGTGAGAAAACGTGTTTGCTTAGAATGGATTAAATGCAGTAACTGAGATTCTCCTGATTTGAGAGTGTTTCCTGTAAGCCACATCGGTCAGTTCTCCAGTAGCTGAAGGCCTGGGGGCTTCCGTAAGCTGAAGCTGAAGGCCATTGAGAGCTGAGTGGCCCAGGGGACTTGGACTAAAAGGACTGATTCTGTTCTAACCTAGCTGATGGGGCTTCTGGCTAAATGTTGAGCTCAGGGGTCAGCACATTCTTTTTTGTAAGGCGTTAGATACAAATATTTTTAGCATTGCAGACCATAGAGTCTGTTCAGCAACATCGCTCTACCTACGGTCAGTGCAAAAAAGCAGACAGTAAAAGTGGCTGTGGCTGCGTTTGGTCCACAGGCTGGAACTTTCTGGCCCAGGGTTAGCATCTCTCTCTTAGTTTATCCAGCTATTCAATGGGGATGTCAAGAGCTGCCCACCCATCTCACAGTACTGTTTTTGGTTTTGGATTTTTTTTTTTTTGGAGATAGAGTTTCACTCTTGTTGCCCAGGCTGGAGTGCAATGGCACGATCTTGGTTCACTGCAACCTTTGCTTCCCAGGTTGAAGCAATTATGCTGCTTGAGCCTCCTAATGTATTTTTAGTAGAGATGGGGTTTCACCATGTTGGCCAGGCTGGTCTTGAACTCCTGACCTTAGGTGATCCACCAGGCTCAGCCACAGTACTATTAAAGATCAGCTGAGCCAGGCACGGTGGCTCACACCTGTAATCCTAACACTTTGGGAGGCAAAGGTGGGTGGATCACCTGAGATCAGGAGTTCAAGACCAGCCTAGCCATCATGGTGAAACCCCATCTTTAAAAAAATAAATAAATAAAAATTAAAAAAAAAAAAAAAGATTAGTTGAAAAGCAGTATACAAGCAAGGGACCATTGTGCAAATCAGTCAGGCCCTAAAACAGTCAGAGGCTTGGTGCAGTCATAGTTGTTTTTTGTTTTGTTGTTGTTTTTTATTTTTTGAGACAGAGTTTCTGTCGTCCAGGCTGGAATGCAGTGGTGCAATCTCAGCTCATTGCAACCTCCACCTTCCAGATTCTTGTCCCTCAACCTTCTGAGTAGCTGGGATTACAGGTGTGCGCCACCACGCCCAGCTAATTTTTTGTAGAGTTGGGATTTCGCCATGATGGTCTTGTACGCCTGGCCTCAGGTGTTCCCAAATTGTACGCCTGGCATCAGCCTCCCAAATTGCTGGGATTACAGGTGTGAGCTGCCACACCCAGCCTAGTCATGCTTTTGTTGTTGAACTCGTTACAACATCAATGTAATAAAAAAAAAAAAAATGAAAAGAGGTTGCTCTTTTCCTCCACTGAGTCTGCACAGCCTCTCATTTGTACATGCTCTTGTTTCACCTCCTATTCTGCACGTGCTACATGGGTCTCAGTGGCACATCATTGTGTTTATCTCTTAAGACTATCCGGCTTTTCCAGTCTGTTAGTCTTGGTTGCACAGTCTCTCTGGAGCCTTCTCTCTTGAAACCTGGTGTTTTGAGATTTGCCTGTCTGCCTAGGGCTGATCTCAGGAAGACTCGGCAGAGCCTGGCTGGTTTGTTCTCTTCCTTATTTGTGCCATTTTTAAAAGCTTACATTTGGTTCCTTTTGCAGTTGGCTGCTGAACAGTTCAAGAAAACCAGTCTCCATGTGGCTAAGAGTGTTTTGAACAATAGACACATAGTGAAGATGCTGGAAAAATACCTCAAGGTCTGTGCTCGAAAGTACCATGGACGGGGAAAGCTTTTGAAAGGGAGGATGAACCCCACGAGCAGGGAGTGGAATCCAGAGTGCAGTGTTTAGCACTTCTGAGTCTTTTGAGCAGTTGATGGACACCGGAATATATCAGGCTTGGGAACGTGACAACTTGGGATTTCCACCGACTGACTGCGTGCCTGGGGACTCTGGGGATATGGTGCTGACTGATTAATCAGTGTGTAATGGCCATGACTCTTAAAAAAAAAAAAACCCTGAATGTTTTAGCCTTAAAATTCTGAGCAAATGATAGTTAGAGGCTTTTTCAAGAAAAACCCAAGGTTAGCCCTACTCAGGAAGTTGGGAGGATTACTTGAACCCAGGAATTTGAGGCTACAGTGAGTTATGGTGGTACCACTGCACTTCAGCCTGGGTAACATAGCAAGACCTGGTCTTTAAAAAAGCTGGGAGCTGGGAATAATAGCTCATGCCTGTAACCCCACTAGTTTGGGAAGCTGAGGCAAGAGGATCCCTGAACCCAGAAGTTAGAGGCTGCAGTGAGCTATGATTGCACAACCGTACTCTAGTCCAGGTGACAGAGCAAGACCCCATCGCCAAAAAAAAAAAAAAAAAATCAGGTAGATAATTTTCTAGCAGATAAGGTAAAAAGATTTCGTTGGCAGAGCTAGCTGACAGTGAGGTTGAAGATGAGGGGTAGTGAAGAACCAGGGCCTTCGTGATGGGAGCAGCATGTGAAAGTCCCAAAGTGGATGTTCTTGGAGAGAAAGCTGGTTAGAAGAGCTCCCAGTTGTCTTGTGGAACCCATTTTGTTCAGTGTTCTTCCTAGGACTTAAGCATTTGGGGCTGGTAGCTAAGCCCCAGCCCACAACCTGACTTCAGGACCTGTTTTCTGTCCTCTCAATTACTAAATGCTTCCATAGTTGACAGTTCATCTATTAAAGGCACAGAAACGAATCTATTTAAGAAACATGGCCGGACGTGGTGGCTGACGCCTGTAATCTCAGTGCTTTGGGAGGCTGAGATGGGCAGATTGCTTTGAGCTCAGGAGTTCAAGACCAGCCTGGACGACATGGTGAAACCCTTTTGGGAGGCTGAGGCAGGAGGATCCCTGAGCCCAGAAGTTAGTTAAAATTAGCTGGGCATGGTGGCACACACCTGTGGTCCCAGCTACTCAGGAGGCAGAAGTTGCCATGAGCTGAGATCGTGCCACTGCACTGAGTGACAGAGTTCTAGAGTCAAGTGTAGACTCCGGCTTCTAAGTGTCTCCGTTTATTTTTAATTTTAGAGTCGGGTCTTATTCTCTTACCCAGTCTGGAGTGTAGTCATAGCTCACTGTAGCCTCGAATTTCTGAGTTCAAGAGATCCTCCCACCTCAGCCTCCCAGGTAGCCAGGACTGCAGTAGTACACCAGCACACCAGCTAATTTTTTTTTTTTTAAGATGGAGTTTCACTCTTGTTACCCAGGCTGGAGTGCAATGGTGCGATCTCAGCTCACCGCAACCTCCGCCTCCCGGGTTCAGGCAATTCTCCTGCCTCAGCCTCCTGAGTAGCTGGGATTACAGGCACGCACCACCATGCCCAGCTAATTTTTTGTATTTTTAGTAGAGATGGGGTTTCACCATGTTGACCAGGATGGTGTCAATCTCTTGATCTTGTGATCCACCTGCCTCGGCCTCCCAAAGTGCTGGGATTATAGGCTTGAGCCACCGCGCCCGGCCTCACCAGCTAATTTTTTGAGATAGTCTTGCTCTGTTGACCAGACTGGTGTGGCCTCACATGATCCTCCTGCTTTGACCTCCCAAATTGCTGGGTTTGTAGGCATGAGCCACTGCGCCTTGCCCTAAGCTTCATATTTTAAGACATGTTTCCTAATCTGGTAATAATAATTTTTAATTCGCTTTAGACTAGAGATAGTTTTTTAGCATATACTTAGAATTTTGAGGGAGTCAGACTTGGATTTGAATCTTCATCCTGATGTTTAGTGTGGCTTTGTTATGTCTGGTAAGTTACTGGTCTTTGAAGCTCAACTCCACATCCATAAAATGGGAATTTATCTCAGGGCTATGGGCATAAATGACACACACAATTTTTTTTTCTGCAACCTCCACCTTTTGGGTTCAAGCAGTTCCAATGCCTCTGCCTCCTGAGTAGCTGGGATTACAGGCATGCTCCACCACACCCAGCTAAATTTTGTATATTTTGTAGAGCCTGGGGTTTTGACGTGTTGCCCAGGTTTGTATTGAACTCCTGAGCTCAAGCAGTCTTCCCGCCCCAGCTTCCCAAAGTGCTGGGATTACAGGTTTGAGCACCTGAATGACACTGAAATTTAACATAGTGTTAACTTCCTGTTACATGTCTTTTTTTTTTTTTTTTTTGAGACACAGTCTTGCTCTGTTGCCAGGCACCAGGCTGGAGTGCAGTGGCACAATCTCAGCTCACTGCAACCGCCACCTCCCAGCTTCAAGCAATTCTCCTGTCTCAGGCTCCCAAGTAGCTGGGACTACAGGTGCACGCCACCATGTCCAGCTAATTTTTGTATGTTTTTAGTAGAGATGGGGTTTCATCATGTTGGCCAGGATGGTCTCGATCTTTTGACCTCGTGATCCGCCTGCCTGAGCCTCCCAAAGTGCTGGGATTACAGGCGTGAGTCACCACACCCAGACTACATGTCCTTTTTTTAAGAAAAACATCAAGTTGAGGCTGAGGCAGGTGGATCACGAGGTCAAGAGATTGAGACCATCCTGGTCAACTTGGTGAAACCCCTGTCTCTACTAAAAATACAAAAAATTAGCTGGGCATGATGGCTTGTGCCTGTAATCCTAGCTACTCAGGAGGCTGAGGCAGGAGAACTGCCTGAACCCAGGAGGCGGAGGTTGCGGTGAGCCGAGATCGTGCCATTGCACTCCAGCCTGGGTAACAAGAGTGAAACTCCGTCTCAAAAAAAAAAAAAAAGAAAAGAAAAACATCAAGTTAAGAAATCTTAGGTCTCGTGAACCTTTCTGCAGAATGTGCCTGGCGCACTGGTTCATGCCTAATTCCAGCACTTTGAGACGCCAAGGTGGGCAGAAACCCCATTTCTACTAAAAATAAAAAAACGCCGGGCGCGGTGGCTCAAGCCTGTAATCCCAGCACTTTGGGAGGCCGAGGCGGGTGGATCACGAGGTCGAGAGATCGAGACCATCCTGGTCAACATGGTGAAACCCCGTCTCTACTAAAAATACAAAAAAAAAAAAAAAAAAAAAAAATTAGCTGTGCATGGTGGCACGTGCCTGTAATCCCAGCTACTCAGGAGGTTGAGGCAGGAGAATTGCCTGAACCCAGGAGGCGGAGGTTGCGGTGAGCCGAGATCGCGCCATTGCACTCCAGCCTGGGTAACGAGCGAAACTCCGTCTCAAAAAAAAAAAAAAAAAAAAAAGTGAAACTCCATCTCAAAAAAAAAAAAGAAAAAAATAAAAGAAATTAGCCAGGCGTGGTGGTGGGCACCTGTGATGCCAGCTACTCGTGAGGCTGAGGCACGAGAATTGCTTGAACCTAGGTGGCAGAGGTTGCCGTGAGCCGAGATTGCACCATTGCACTCCAGCCTGGGCAACAGAGCAAAAACTCCACCTCAAAAAAAAAAAAAAAACTAGTCAGGCGTGGTGGTGCATGCCTATAAACCCATTACTTGGGAGGCAGGCAGGAGATTCACTTAAACCTGGGAGGCTGAGGTTGCAGTGAGCCAAGATCATACCACTGTAGTCCTGCCAGCCTAGGCCACAGAGTGAGAGTCCAACTTAAAAAAAAAAAAAAATAGCAGAATGTCTAGTGACATTTTTCCGAGGTCTTTTCTGAATCTGTAGGCTCTGAGAACCTGTAAGTTTAACTCCCGTGGTGGTGTTTATGGAAATGTTTCTCTTGTGGACTCTGCTGGTTCTGCAAAGCTGACATCCCAGCATTGGTAGGCCTCCTGAATTCTGCTACACTGACATGTGTTTCTCTTTGGCCAGGGTGAGGACCCTTTCACCAATGAAACTATTGATCCAGAAATGGAAGGAGATGACAATTTAGAAACTGAGGATAAGAAAGAGACACCTGAGGCAGTGGCCACGGACGTCTTAGCCGAGGTGATCACGGCAGCAGTGAGGGCAGTGGACGGGGAAGGAGCACCGGCTCTGGAGAGCAGCGGGGAGCCAGCTGAGGGCAAAGGCCCTGTGGACAGAACAGAGGCTAGTAATGATCCTGAAGCTGAACAGCCCCTGGAAGAGCAGGTGCCCTTCGGAACAGCATCTGAGAAGGGTGTCGTGGAGGCAGGAAGTAGCACCGAGACAATGGCAGTAGAGGGAGAAAGTGCCCAAACCACAGCTGCTCCTGCCCCAGCTGCCACGGATACCGAAGCGGAACAAACTGATGCAGAGTCCAAAGATGCTGTTGTCACAGAATGATGCTCATTTCCCTGTTCCAGGGGAGGTGTTGTATAATGGATGCATAGCTCTTTCTCCCTTGGTTTGTAAGCAGTACAAGGGTGTGTGCTACCGGGATACACTGTAAACTGATTTTGGTCAAGAGCCCCAGCCATTTCCTCCTGGGCAGAGCCCCTCGGCTTGTCTCACGCAGCCATGTGGCTTCTTGCCTGTGTTTGAGAGCTGCAGACGTACCTTTTCCTTAGCGGCTATAACATTTCTCTTGACACTGCACTTGGAATAATAAAGGTTGGGTGATTACAGCTTGATGATTGATACTTTGCTTCTTCAATACAACCACTGACTGAATGCCTCCTTTTTTATTTTTGACCTTAAATTTTTTTTTTTTTTTTTTTTTGGTTGGGAACAGCTCAGCACTAGGAATATACCTTGCTCTGTAGGGGATTTTTGTTTTTTACATTTTAAGCTTCAGCCTTTAACCTGTATCTTTGTAGCACTCTGTATGGTGAGTGACCTTTACAGGACTTCGCAGCACCTGGTTCAACATGGCATTGACTATGTCACATCCACGCAAGCAGAGGCCAGAAGAATCGGACCAACCTACACCACTAGAAGCACACCCACCTCACCCTCAAGAGCCAGACTGTGCAGAGGGCACTGTTTTCAACGGTTAGTCTCGCAGCATCGCCTCTCTCATGTTTTACCTCATTTGTGTTCCACCTCTAGATTAGTTGAAGTTTTTTCCTTTAAAATGAGTTACTCCCACTCAAACGCATTTACAAAGAAAATTTGGTGGGACGTGGTGGCACATGCCTATAATCCCAGTAGTTTAGGAGCCTGAGGCAGGAGGATAGCTTAAGCCTAGGAGTTCGAGACCAACCTGGTCGACATAGCAAGACCCCATCTCGGAAAGAAAACTTGATGTGATTCCCATAGATGGAATAATCCAACATAAACTGCCATAGATAGAAGCTATCTATTACAAAATAATAATATAATGAAATAATGTTTCACTTTAGAGAAACAGCTATTTAGACCTTTCTGAATCTGAAAAAGGAAGGCTAGCATGTGTTCAAAGTTAGCACACAATTTCCTAAAATTAGAAGAGTCTGAAGATCCCTTTTGAAATGGCCGTGCTGTGTCAGTTTCCCTGTGGCCTTTTGAACTGTATACATCTCACATGTTGGGAAACATGGGCCACTGGGGAATCATTAGAAAAGGAGGCAGTAAAATAACTTGGTGATTCTCTCCTGTACACCAGGGGCTAACATGATACACATTCTAGGAATTGGGCCCTGTTCATGAGGAACCTTAGTGGAGATTCTGGGTGAATATTTATGAAGAAATCAACATTAGAACTAAAAATGGAAATAAACTGCTTGATGAGACGGTGGCGCCTCTGGGTCATTTCTGCTCAGCATTTGTTCACGTTGCATAGATGCGCCTTCTTTGCAGGCTGAACGTGCCCTTTAAGCTTGTTCTCTTGGCTGGGCAAGGTGGCTCACGCCTGTAAGCCCAGCAGTTTGGGAGGCCGAGGCGGGTGGGTCACTTGAGGTCAGGAGTTTAGGACCAATCTGGCCAACATGGTGACCTGTCTCTACTAAAAATACAAACATTAGCTGGGCGCCATGATACACGACTGTAGTCCTAGGTACTCAGGAGGCTGAAGCAAGAGAATCACTCAAACCTGGAAGGTGGAGGTTGCAGTGAGCCGAGATCACACCACTGCACTCTAACCTGGGCAACAGAGTGAGACTCTGTCTCTAAAAAAATAAAAATAGGCCGGGCACGGTGGCTCATGCCTATAATCCCAGCACTTTGGGAGGCCGAGGCGGGTGGATCATGAGGTCAAGAGATCAAGACCATCCTGGTCAACAAGGTGAAACCCCGTCTCTACTAAAAATACAAAAAATTAGCTGGGCATGGTGGCACATGCCTGTAATCCCAGCTACTCAGGAGGCTGAGGCAGGAGAATTGCCTGAACCCAGGAGGCAGAGGTTGTGGTGAGCCAAGATCATGCCATTTCACTCCAGCCTGGGTAACGAGCGAAACTCCGTCTCAAAAAATAATAATAATAAATAATTTTAAAAAGCTTGTTCTCTTAAAGCAAAAATGTTGGTAGCATTGAACATCACTAGCACAAAAACCAGTAGTGGAACTGCTTTATTTCCTTAATTTTACTTTCTCTCTTTTTTTTTTTTGGAGACAGAATCTCTCACCGTTGTCCAGGCTGGAGTGCAGTAGCGCAATCTTGGCTTACTACAACCTCCACCTCCCAGGTTCAAATGATTCTCCTGCCTCAGCCTCCCAAGTGGCTGGGATTACAAGCGCCCACCAACATGCCAGTACAGACGGGTTTCACCATGTTGGCCAGGTTGGTCTTGAACTCCTGACCTCAGGTGATCAGCCCGCCTCAGCCTCCCAAAGTGCTGGAATTACAGGTGTGAACTACTGCACCAGCCACCCGCCACCTGACCACCCTTTTTTTTTCCCCCTAAAAACCCAAGACCTGGCCAGTTTTGGTGGCTCACACCTGTATTCCCAGCACTTTAGGAGGTTAAGGCAGGTGGATCACTTGAGGTCAGGAGTTTGAAAGCAGCCTGGTCAACATGGCAAAACACTGTCTATACTAAAAATCAGCCAGATGTGGTGGTGCACGTCTGTAATAGCAGCTACTGGGGAGGCTGAGGCAGTTGAACCAGGGAGGCAGAGGGTGCAATGAGTCAAGGTTGCACTACTGCACTCCGGCCTGGGTGACAGAGCAAGATTTTGTCCCAAAAAAATAAATATCAATCCAAGACCTGTCATTACATTAATCTGAATGTCAGTGAGGCTCTTCCACATTCCATCTCTTGTGAAACTACATAATTGCTTTTTTAAATTTTTAGAGGCATGGTCTCACTGTGTTGCCCAGGCTGGAGTGCAGTAGCACTACTATAACTCACTGCAGCCTCCAAATCGTGATTTCAAGCAATCCCTCCACCTCAGCCTCCTGATTAGCTGGGACTACAGAAGGGCACCACCATGCCCAGCTAATTTTTAAGTCGTCTTGTAGGGCTAGGCATGGTGGCTCACTCCTATAATCCCAGCACTTTGGGAGGCCAACGCAGTTGGATCACCTGAGGTCAGGAGTTTTGAGAACAGCCTCGCCAACATCATGAAACCCGTCTCTACTAAAAAGACAAAAATTATCCAGGCATGGTGGCTCATGCCTGCAATTCCAGCTACTCAGGAAGCGGAGGTTGCAGTGAGCTGAGATGGCACCACTTCACTTCAACCTGGGCAGCAGAGCAAGACTCCATCTCAAAAAAAAGAAAAAGTTTTGTAGAGGCTGGTCTTGAACTCCTTGCTTCAAGAAATCCTCCTGCTTCAGCCTACTGAAGTAGCTAAGACTACGGATGCAAGCCCCTATGCCCAACCTTCATGCATTACTTTGGTCCCACAATTAGGGTTAAACCAGGCCCTCATTCCCCAAGATGAGGAATACTTGTGTCACACAAATGGAGTGCTCTTATATTTTCCAAAAATGACAGAAATTGCAAGCTTATTTAAAGGAGGAGAACTAATATTTATCAGTTACTTCTCCCATTTGCAGAGAAGAAACCGGACAGGGAGATTAGTAACTTTCAGGGTCACACAGCAAAGATGGGCTCCCCAAAATAACATGCAGATCTGTGACACATCAATGGCCATGTACATTCTATAGGCAGTTTTCAAATTTATTTTTTTATTTATTTATTTTTTTAATGGTGTCTCACTCCGTAGCCCAGGCTGGAGTACCTGGGATTACAGGCACGTGCCACCACACCCGGCTAATTTTTGTATTTTTAGTATAGATGGGGTTTCACCATATTGGTTAAGCGGTCTCGAACTCCTGACCTCGTGATCCACCTGCCTTGGCCTCCCCAAAGTGCTGGTATTACAGGCCTGAGCCATGGTACCCGGCCTTTAATTTTTATTTTTCTGACATGGGTCTCTCTCATCCAGGTTGCAGGTCAATGGCGCCATCTCAGCTCACTACAACCTCCCCTCCCAGGCTCAAGCAATCCTCCCACCTCAGCATTTTGGGAGGCCGGGGTGAGCGGATCATGAGGTCAGGAAATAGAGACCATCCTGGCCAACATGGTGTAACCCTGTCTCTACTAAAAATACAATAGCGCGGTCGTTGTGGCACACTTGTAATCTCAGGTACTCAAGAGGCTGAGGCAGAAGAATTGCTTGAACCTGGGAGGCAGAGGCTGCAGTGAGCCAAAATTGTACCACTGCACTCCAGCCTGGAAAACAGAGCAAGATTCTGTCTCAAAAGAAATTTACCTCTATGTTTTATTCTAATAATTTAATAGTTTTAGCTCATACTGAGATCTGTAGTTCATTTCAAGTTAATTTTTTTATTTTTGAGATGGAATCTCACTCTGTTACCCAGGCTGGAGTGCAGTGGTACAATCTGGGCTCACTACAACCTCCACCTCTGGCTTCAAATAATTCTGCCTCCGCCTCCTCAGTAGCAGGGATTACAGAACTGTGCCACCATGTCTGGCTACTTTTTGTATTTTTTCTAGAGATGGGGTTTCATTATGTTGGCCAGGTTGGCCTCACTCCTGATGTCAAGTGATGCTCCCACCTTGGCCTCCCAAAGTGCTAGGATTACAGGTGTGAACCACCACCCCTTGCCGAGTTAGTTTTTATATACGTGTAAGGCAAGGATCCAACTTCACTCGACTCCATGTGGCTTATCCCGTTGTCTAAACACTTACTTGTTGAAGAGACTGTTCTTTCCCCCACTGAATGGTCTTGATACCCTTGTCAAGTCAGTTGACCATGACTACATGGTTTACTTCTGGACCGTCAGGTCTACTCTATTGTTCTACATATCTATCCTTATGTCACTGTGCTTTGAAGTAGATTTAAAATCAGGCAGTGGCTCATGCCTGTAATTCCAACACTTTGGGAGACAGACACGCGGATACTTAAGGCCAGGAGTTGGAGACCAGCATGACTAAGATGGTGAAACTCCATCTCTACTAAAAATATAAAAATTAGCTGGACAGGCTGGGAGCAGTGGCTCAAGCCTGTAATCCCATGACTTTGGGAGGCAGAGGTGGGCAGATCACCTGAGGTCAGGAGTTTGAGACCAGCCTGGCCAACATGGTGAAACCTGGTCTCTACTAAAAATACAAAAAATTGGCTGGGTGCAGTGGCTCAAGCCTGTAATCCCAGCACTTCGGGAGGCCGAGGCGGGCGGATCACGAGGTCAAGAGATCGAGACCACCCTGGCCAATGTGGTGAAACCCCGTCTCTACTAAAAATACCAAAAAAATTAGCTTGCCTGTAGTCCCAGCTACCCGGGAGGTTGAAGCAGGAGAATTGCATGAACCCGGGAGGCGGAGGCTGCAGTGAGCCAAGATCGTGCCACTGCACTCCAGCCTGGCGCCTGGCACCTGGCAACAGAGCAAGACTCTGTCTCAAAAAAAAAAAATTATCTGGGCATGGTGGCACACACCTGTAATCCCAGCTACTCTGGAGGCTGAGGCAGGAGAATCACTTGAACCCGGCAGGGAGGCAGAGGTTGCAGTGAGCTGAGATCACGACACTGCACTCCAGCATGGGCAACAAGACTGAAACTCTGTCTCAAAAAAAATTAACTGGACATAATGGTACACTTCTGTAATCCCAGCTAGCTACTTGGGAGGCTAAGGTGGGAGGGTTGTTTGAGCCCAGGAGGTGGAGGTTGCAGTGAGCTGAGATTGTGTCACTGCACTCCAGCTTGAGTGACAAAGTTAACGCTCTGCCTCAAAAAAAAACAGCCAGTGCAGCGGCTTACACCTGTAATCCCAGCACTTTGGGAGGCTGAGGCAGGCGGATCACCAAGTCAGAAGATCGAGACCATCCTGGCTAACATGGTGAAACCCTGTCTCTACTAAAAATACAAAAAATTAGCCAGGCATGGTGGCACGTGCCTGTAGTCCCAGCTACTCGGGAGGCTGAGGCAGGAAAATTGCTTCAACTCGGGAGGTGGAGGTTGCAGCAAGCCTAGATGGCGCCACTACACTCCAGCCTAGGCAACCGAGTGAGACTCTGTCAAAAAACAAACAAACAAGAAAAACCAACTGGAAGTGGTGTCATAACCTGCTTTTTACTACCTAAAACTAACTCTCATGTTTCTCAGACTATAAGCTGTTCAGGCTTTATGTTAGCTTTTTGAGCCGGACAGACTCCATCTTAGCTTCTTCATTTTAGTTCTACATACCACCATTTAAGTATGTAACTATAGTATGTAACTGGGGCAGGCTGACACTGGGCACCCAGGAATGCATTTGTTGATAAGAGGCTGAGTTAAGTGATACCAGCAGAGCCTGGGAATGCAGGTGCTGTTGAGCGCCCAGAGCCCC